AATCAGAATAAGCTCAATTAACTGATGTTCTTATTGTATTAAGAAAAAATAGTTATCATATAAAACGACCTAAATTATATATGTATATATAAAAAAAAAAAAAAAAAAAAATTCAACAGACAAAATCTAATTTATTTTTCTTCTAGGAATTTGAGTATTCATTCATTTTCAATGCCAAAATTAAATGATAATAAAATAAATAATTGGAAAATTTTAATAGAAAATTGGGATATTAAAGAATCAACATCACTTATAGATAGTCATCTTAAACATATTGTTATACAAAATTCATCATCAAATTTAATAACAAATGTTGATCGACGTGCAATTTTATTTTCAACTATTCTATGTCTTTGTAAAGGTTTATCAAATGATAAATGGAAATTTAAAGAAAAAATATGGTTAAGAAAATTTAATATTAATGATAAAATTATTATTCCTGGTAACTTATAATTATTTAATAATTTAATAAAAGAAAAATTTGTGTTTTTTGTTTTTGTAGATCATGAACATGTATTTGAAATACAATGCGATGAAAAAAATTATATTCTAGCAGCTCGATCTGAACAAGATAAACTTCAATGGTTATGTCTACTTATGTATATACGAAATAAAAGGTAATTTATATCATTGTTTGTCTTTACAAAAAAAAAGATAACACCGGTCGCTGTTCACAGTCGAATTTTTGAAGATATATATGCTGTACTTTTCTTCTTACAGAGGGCAGCGTTAAAAGCCTTCTAGAACAGGATGCGTCATCGTAAACTATTAACAGTTACAGTTTTACAAAATTCACATTATATTTTCCGAAGAGAAATATAATTTATGCAGTTCCTTCTCTTCATTGCAACGCGAGAGAAGGTCAATAGTCATTGAGTACATTTCCATAGTTAGCTAAGACAACAAACATCATATTCTTTTCTCAGAGTTCCTTAGCTACAAAAAAAAAAAAACTATTTCAACTGTTCTAAAAAGTTTTATATCCTTCTATGAAACTTATATAGCCGGGATAACTTTATGAATTTCCTTAATAATTCAGTTTATTTTTACACATATGCACGAGCATATGACAGATATCAAGGATAATAACTAATGATGTATTGATTTATCACAGTTGTTATATAAGCAATAGAAAAAGCTAACATTGATCAAGTTCTAATTTTCGAGGACAATGATTATGAGTGTATGAGAATAGCAACAAAATAATACAGATCATTTCACTAATGATCGATTATCCTTGGAAAATAATTATAGTCTGTTTGAGATTTTTCACATAACATATTTTCTATTAATATAATGAAGCTAAAGAACATATGTGAGTTCCACATTTTAGCTCTAAATGATCTGTGTTGATAAGCTGTTCTTCTCAATACTTAATGTGTACTTGGTGAAATAGACAATTATCTCCAGACGTTCATATTGATTCTTAATATGACGTTAATATATTAAGAAAATTGATTTTATATCTATTCAGCATGAATAATTTCTATTCTAAATAAACAATAATTTACTATGATGAATACATATTAATATTTTCTTTTGATTATTTCAATATAATAACTAAAAAAAAATTAGAAATATTTTCTTATTTAGTATTCTTCAACGTGAATTATATAATATTCTTGTTAATGAAGATGCTCAACAAGTTTTATTAACTCCTGATCCAAGTCGATACAAGTAAATTATATTGATTTACTTATTCTGTTTTTAGTGTAAATAAATAAATTATTTATAGATTTTGTGCACCAAATTTATCAACAAATATTCTAATTGATTATCATACTAATGATAAATCATCATCATCATCATCATCATCATTTATAATTCGTGGTGCAACTATAGAAAAATTAATTGAACATTTAACACATCATCAATTATTACATCCACGTTTTGTTAAATCATTTCTTATGACTTATAAATCTTATTGTACACCATTAGAATTATTAAATTTACTTATTGAACGATATAATATTCCTGAACCAGCATCTGCATATTTATATACAGAACAACAATTAAAAAAATTTCGTAAGGAATATGTTCAACCGGTTAAACTAAGGTAAACAAATTTTTTTTCTTTTTTTTTTAAATATGTGAATTTAATAATAAAATTTTGTTTTGTAGAGTACTTAATGTTATTCGACAATGGGTTGATAAATATTTTAGTGATCTTGTTGAATCAAATGATAATGTACTTGATCAATTACAAACATTTTTACAATCAATACCTGATACTGGTGGATTATATCAATTTAAAACAAGTATTCTAAAATTAATTGATAAACAGGTTTGAAATCGTTGAATTTTTTTTTCTTAAATTATTATTATTATTATAAAAATCAATTTGGAATTTTTTGGAAAATAGACAATTGATTATCAAGATTCATCGAAGAAAAATCAACAACAAGATTTAATTAGTGATGAACGAGATCAAATTGACGATCTTGATGTTTTTCTCGTATGTTGTTATTTTGTTTTTTAAAAATATGCTAAAAACATCTATATCATATTATACATATTATATTTTCATTAAAATTAGAAGAAAATTTATATATACTGATAGAAGAACAAAAAATATTTAGGTACTCGGTTTGTTGTACGCTTAAAGTTGAAACGTTCTTTTACGTACTCGCAGAATTATAAATAGATTTTTGCTGTGTTTAAGCAGACTTGCTTATCTCTTCATCCTAAAATGACAGATGTCTTTTAAGAGAGACATTCTGATAATTGCTATAAAAAAAAAACATATGAAAATTTTCTATACTAATATTAATATTGTTCGAGACTAATGAGAGAATAATGAACTATGAATACAGTACAAAGAGCTTACGAGGGAACATATCCAACTGATTCCGAGCTTTCGGCTTCATCTTTTGGCTACAGGTAGGCCTCAGTGAGACTAAGAATACCCT